TCTGCCTGAGGGAAAGGGTGCTAGGAACCCAGCTTGGATCAATCCTCTTTCTGTGACTTTACTCTAATCAGAAAACTGGCTAGTCCAAATGCATTGCTCAATAGCAGAAGGCTGAGAATACCAGCCTTGGAGATCTTTCCAGCAACAAAAACAGAGATGGCAAAGGGTGAGGAGGTAAACCGGAGACAAACTACTGGCAATACAATAGAAAGATTAAAAGACCAAAAGACCAAGAGTGAAAGAGCTGCATGTAAACCTAGCTCCTAAGAAGATGAACCAAAAAAGACTCATGAAGACAGATGAAAATCAGGAAAAATTCAGAGAGAGGCCAACACACAATACAAGTGTTATGCTATGAAGAAACATAAATCAAACATTTATCTTGTGGAAGAGAAAATGCAGATTTAGACCATAAAAATACAAAATATGAAGAAGACTATTTGACAGAAGGGAAGCAAAAATGAAACAACTTTCAAAAGAACACATTAATTTCATAGAAGCCAAAGTAATTAACCTTGAAGACAGATTGTGTGGAGATAGCTTAAGGTTTATAGATCTCCCAGAAGAACATGATTAATAAAAATATGAATATCATGTTGTAAGAAATTATACAGGAAAATTTCTAAAAACTCTTAAATATAGATAGGAAAGAACTGTTTGATTAACTCTACAGACCATCACCAGAGAACAACCCTACACTTAAGATTTAAGGACATGTAGTAGATACATGTCATTATTTCTATATTAAGCAACAAGTTTTATAAACAGAAAAGAAAAGGGTCACTGGCTATGAAGTTATACTCCAAGATATGAGCTGCCCAGGAATACTTTGGTAGTTACAAGAAATCAAAGGAAAAAATGGAATAGTATATTCCCAACTGCAATGGAGATCAAACTCTAATCCAAAATAGCATATCCTGAAAAAGTTAACCTAATCATCAACAAAAAAAGAGTTAGACCTTAAGTAACAGTCAATCTCAGAATCAAGTCAATATGCAGGCTGCAAACACTTCCAACAATAGAAAAACAAGAAAGTTAAAAAGTTCAATTATCAAGAAAAGACTATTTTTTAAATAAATAACTAAAAGATAAAAGAAAGAATAAATAAGGATTATCAAAGGACAAGAAGGACCTAAAGTAACCCAAAGACCTAAAGATTTAGGAGAAACATAAAGAATTGGGAGAGGAGAAGGAGGAAGAGCTGAATTAATATTCCATGGAGTAAATTCTGTTTTCACTTATACATGAATCCATATCTTTTGTTGGAAAGATAAGCCAGTGAGAAGTTACACAAATGAGCAGAAGGGAGATGGTGATATGCATGCACACGCGTGCACACATTCACACACAAACATGCACACACACACACACTTAGGTAAGAATGATTAAAGAAGGCATATTAATATCTTTAGTCACTCAAGAAGAGTGGGAGATGGGGATAAAAATAATGAAAACAAGGGTTAAAGACAGGGGAAGTAGAAATTCAGTCTCATCCTAGAAGGGAAAAGAAAGAAGTTCCACTACAGAAAATTTCCATGGCACTACTGGGAAATATTTATGCCTGTGGTAAGATATAGGGGTCTTGTAATGGATCTTAACTGGAGAAAACTTATGTATTAGGAAACCATCTTGTCTGAGAAACGATTCTCTGAGCAGGGTTCTACCTCCCAGAACTGTATCCTAGAATAGGAACAGGAATGTGTAAGTCTCCAAGGGTAACTAGTATTCAGGGTAGAACTAGAGATAGTATAATTTCATTTGGGGAGTGGGGAAAGATCATGGAAAGGGCAGGGGGTAGGACTGGACATCATGATGTAGACCCAGAACAATTCCCATGACACAGAACAACTTGCATTCAACATTACTTCATTCATAAACTGATATCCCTAAGAGTGAGGTACAATGGATTTTTTTCAAGGGAGATGGGATAAGACCTATGGATTCAATGACATAGAAATGGAATAAAGGATTAAGTTCAAATTCAGTTTTCCACAGCTCTTCCTCCTAAGGGACATGAGAGAACAAAGAAGTTTAGGAAAGACACAGACTCTGACCTCATGGAGCTTATTTGTTGGCTTAAATTCTGATATCCCCCTGTCCCAAATACCTAAGGTTATCTCAACAGAAGGTATACAGATAGTTAAAATGTTCCATCATTATTAATCATGCCTCTGTCCCTGGTTTGAGATTCATAAACTCTTCATCTATTTTCTCCTTCTGTCCAGGTGATCTGTAGTTTACTCATACCACAGTACACTCAGCACACCCTATATTGTCAAACTCATGGCCAGGGAAAAAAGCAACCAGGTCAGCAAAACTGAGTACAGCAGAACCAGATGAAAATGTAATTGGGAAATGTTTAACAAAATAAATAAAAATACAACACAGATAATGTTAATGTGTGATTTTTTAAGTCAGTATGTGGAATCTGTTTCTATTCTAGTCTGACATCATTGATCTATACTATGGTACAGAGGCAGCTAGATGGCACCATAAATAGGGTCTGAAATCGGAAAGACCTAAATTCAAATCCAGCTTCAGACACTTCCTACCTGTGTGGTGTGAGGCAAGTCACTTGACCTTTGTTTGCCTTAGTTGTCTCAACAGTCAAATGTGAATAATATACCTACCTTACAAGATTGTTATTAGGATCAAACGAGATAATATTTGTAAAGTGCTAGCCTATTGCCTAGTATATAATAGATACTTAATAAATACTGTTCTCTTCCTTCTGTTTCCCCCCATGGTGATATTGTTTGTTTCCTTCTGTTAATCTTCAAACACATATTTTCAGCCAAACGCATTTGCCCCAGTTGCTTACACCATGGACGTCTTCAGATGGATATATTTTTCAGACGTTTTCCACCTATATGATTATGGGTAAGCACCCAACCCCCCAGAACCAGCTTTCTCATTGAAAAATGAGGATGATAATAATACTTGTACCATTTACCTTGGCATTGTTGTGAGAAAAGCATTTTGAAAACTTTAAAGTTCTATATAAATGAAAAGTGTCTTTTTTCTATTTACAATGCTCCTCTGTCATCATTCCTTCTTTCATCTCTTCTTGTCTTTTTAAACAAGACATACAGTGTCCCAAAAGTAACAGTGCGTTGTTAAGCTTTAATAGCTTAAACCACCAGATGTGACAATTTAATAGCTTGAGCTGGTAAAGTTATTAAAATTTTTAAATGCACCAACACTTTTGGGACACCCTGCATCACCCCTCCCAGAGATGTGGTGTAATTATTAATTCTATCCCATCAAGTCTCAGTGTTATCTCAAATTTGTCTCTTTCTGTCAGGGCCTTTAGTTTACCTTCCTTTTTTTTCTTTTTAACCTATTTGGCATTCATTTGTATGTAGATATTTGAGGCCAGGAGTATTATTGATACATATATGGAGGTTGAACTCATATATATCACTGAAGACATCCTGGAGGCACATGGAAATATAGAACTGGAACTCAATTTGGAAGTCAGTACCAAAGATTACAATGTGGGTATTCATTTGAATAGAGGTGACAGCTGAAGAACAAAAAAAGGGGGATGAGTTTTCTGGTTGGGAAGTCTGAATAAGGGGTTAGAGTAGAGGCCTTTCCTTCTCTTGTCCTATGAGAGTAGAATCTACTTGGCTGAATTCTTGGCCCCCACTCTTGCTTGATTTCCTGGATCTTCTCTGACCTGGAGACAAGCTAATTAGCAGAGAGGCCTGGTTGCATAACCTTTACATTCTTTTTCCCTCTTTCTTTCTCTTCCCCTCCCCTCCTTTTCTTCTGTCTCTCTCCATCTCTGTCCCTCCTTTTCCTCTGTCTCTCCTTCTTCTCTCCTCATTTTCTCTCCCCTCTTCCTCTTTCCTTTTTCTCCCTCTCTTTTCTTCCTTTTCTTCCCCCTCCCTTTCTTTCTCCTTCTCCCCCAGGAGTTGAGAAGTCCATGTGTTCTTATGTCCAGTAATTAGAATAAGTATTGATTACAACCTATTGTAATCCTCTCCACCATAATAAATATGTGTTTCATATGCTTAGGATTCTATTTCCATTATATGGGAACAATTTTGGTACATTAATATATTGCTAAACTAAGAATTCCACTATAATTTATGTTCTGGTGACCCCTATGAAATATCTCCCTTTAAAACAAGGTTTCTTAAATTTGAGGCTGTGAACCTGTGGGGTTTTTAAAAAATATTTTGATGAATATTTGATATAATTTATTTCCTTTATAACTGTAAAAATCTTTGATTTTCTTTTATACATTTAAAAACATTTTTCTGAGAAGGGATCCATAGACTTCACCAGATTGTCCAAGGGGGCCCAGGGCACACAAAAAGGTTAAGAACCCTGTTCTAGATCAAAATTGTGCAGCTATTTTCTGGAGTTCTGCTTTGAAGGTATAACCAAGGCCTATATCAATCCCAAGATTCCTGATTTCCCAACAGACTCCATAGCTGATGGAGGCTGGGAGTTAGTAAAGGCGAGGACCGAGAATTAGGTCTTGGGATTGCCCATAAGGTCAGGGTGGAATATGAGAAATTAACAAAGGAGATAGAAAGAACAGTCAGAAAGTTAAAAGGAAAGGGTAGTGTAGTCACAGGGAGCATAGTAAGAAAAAATCTTGATTAAAATGAAGTGCATAAAGCCACCAAAAGCTATAGGAGGGGTAATGGAAAGCGATGCCACTAGATTTGACAATTCTGGGCTTGCTCCCAGGTGATCCAGTTCTCTTTGGGAGTGAGAATCAGGTTCTTAGGACAGAGTCGAGTCTGTGAATCAGGTTTGCTGCACCAAGAATAATCAGGAGGAAAGGCAGTCATCCTCCCAGTGATTGGCTCATAAAGGAACAGGAAGCAGCAGAGCAGCTAAGCATCTGGAACCATTCAGTGTGATCCAAAATGTATGAATTGCCAGGCAGGTGGCCTGCCCTTCTCCATTGGGAAAGAGAAGTGGGAGAAAAATGAACTGATTTTTAAATTGTTTTTTGATGTGCCAAAACCTAGGAGCAACCAAGCCCTGGAACAGCAGCCTGGAAGCATGTACTTTCACCAGAAGAGATCTGACTAAGCTACCACCCGGGATGACGTGGTGGTAAGCAGACACCCTCTGGGAAGGGCAGGAATGTTCCACTAACAGGCTGTGCCCTACGAGCATGAGGCTGGTGAGTAGGCTCTGACATCAGTGTGCCAACTTAAAAGGAAGCCCTATCAATCGCTGGCAGGATGGCTCACCCATCTCACCACGACTTAGCAGGAAAGGTTCCTATTATAATTATGATATAATATGACAGTAAGCATTTATTAGGCTCCTTCTGTATATGCAAAGTCCTGTGCTTGGTGCTTAGGAGGACAGAAAGATTATATAAGACCCCATAGAGCACTTGTAACAGTGGGAGATGAATTCCAGAGAAATAAGAGTTTGAATGATACCTTCTAACACCATAGCTATGGACAAAGTCATTTCACTGCAATTAGCCTTAGTTTCCTCATCTATAAAATGGACATGATACAACTACCTTTAGGACCTACCTCACAGGTTTTTGTGTAGATCAGAAATTCTTACAATCCCTGATTCCCTTCAAGATTTAACTCAAATGGCAGCTTCTGCAGAAGACATTTCCTTGTTCCCCCAGCTTCTAGATCCTTCCCCTTGACAGTTACTTTATATTTTACACACTGTCCCACCCCCTAGAATATAAGCTCCATGAGGGCAGAGACACTTTATGCCTTTTTTTCGTATTGTCAGTTCTTAGAAGAGTGCCTGGCACAGAGTAAGCACTTCATGACTGGTTCCTGTTAGATTAAATGAGGTAACAGATTCCATAATTCTTCAGGCCAATACTTATATTATTATTATAAGGTATGATTGCATCTTTCAGAGAGCTAACAGAGAGGAAGAAGATAAGACATCAACATAGATAGTAATAATGCCCAATGTTACCTGAGTTTATAAGAGCAGTATGGTACAATGGAAAGAGTCCTAAATGTGGGCCTGCATTTGAATCCTGCCTTGGTCACTTACTGTCTGTAAATGGGCAAGCCATCTATCCTCTCCAGGCCTTAGTTTTCTCGTCTGCAAAAGAAAGAGGTTAGAGTAGATGGACTCCAAGATTCCTTCTGGTTCTAGATGATTTTGAGATCTTATGAAATATATTGTTAAGTCATTTCAGTCATATCTTACCCTTTGTGATATCATTTGAAGTTTTCTCAATGAAGATACTGGAGTAGTTTGTCATTTTGTTCTCCAGCTCATTGAACAGATGAGGAAACTGAGGCCAACAGATTAAGTGACTTGTTCAAGGTCACACACCTAGTAAGTGTCTGAGACCAGATTTGAACACCTCCAGGCACAGCACTCTATCCATTGTGACACATAGCTGTCCATGAAACATATCAGAGGGATACAAAACAAAGTATTACAGGATATCTGAGGGGAAGATCATTACCAAAAAGAGTGGTAGGTAGAGGAATCCAGCAAAACCTCCTGCTTTCAACAATAAGCATGATTGAAGAACCTTGTCAAGGCTGTAGAATAAAAAGAGAGGCAGAGGATTCAACTGAGGCTATGCTCCAGGACTGAACATTAGGAGCTCAGGGAAGAGTCAGGAAACATTTAGATAAACTCTGCTGTGCTTTGGTGAGATATGCCCAACCAATGAAAGAGCTGAGAGCAAAACAAAAGGCTGTTAAAGTACCATCTAAAAGTCCATCTTCATAGAAAACTAAGTGGATGAAGAATGGATAATGTCCAAATTATGGGATATGGTTGGATGGCCAGTCTATTGAGTATGGCTGTCAATACATATATCTTGGACAGGCTCTGCAGAGGGATAAGAAACTAGACCAAGAATTGAATAGAGAGAAGAGAGTGGCCTATGTTGCGTTTCAAAAATTATGGAGCACTTTCAACAATCTTGAGCTAATCCCTGATACAAAACCGCATCTTTTTAATACCAGTTCTTCTGTGGATGCTGTGTGTCTGCCAGACTCCTTCTATCCCACGACTTACTCCTTCATTCCATCTCAGTCACACACAGGGATGGCCACATGCTAGAGCTCACCGTTATCAAGAAGAGTCTCACTTCATGAATTAAATCTACAGTATTCCTGTATTTCACCATAACCTTCTACCATTCCATCTCTTCCTATGCCTTACTCTTCTTAAACTCATTCTTTTCATTGATTGAGAACTCTAATCCCTTTCCAATTCCTCCTTTATTACTTTCTCAGGTCATTACCCCTGCTTTGACTTCCTTCCCTCACCAGTCTTGACCCTATTCAACTCTACACTGTCACCTGCTTTTGAGTCCTTTCCCCCTTGTCCTATTCCTACTCATCCCTTGCCATCTTCAGCTCTGGGTTACTTCCAACCTCTGCCTCTTTTGCTCCTGCTGGTGTGCCACTGAATAGAGCTGGAGGAAGTCTCACAATTGTGTTGATTGGGTACATTGTAAAGCATGTTATACAAATTTAATGGGGCTCCCACTGCAACAAAGCAATCCTATTATTCTTCACTCACTGAATCCCTATCTCACTCTTAACAAAAGCTTTTCTAAGCCTTTTCTTCTCTTGTCAAAGCTTTCCACATCTTCTCCAATTCCTTTCTTCTTCAGATGAAGACCTCAACTCTTATTTTGCTGAGAAAATTTATGTCATTAGATATGAGCTTCTCCTTCTCCCATTCTCTTAATCTCAAAACCCTTCAGTACCATCTTCTATGTTTCCCATGGTCTTTGACAAAAGGGTGGTTCTTGGGCTTTCCAAGACCAATACATGCCATTGATCCTATCCCATTTTGTCTTTTACATCAGATTTCACCCTTAATTAATTTCTCTTTCTTTGGAATCTTCAACCTTTCCCTACCTAATGGTTCCTTCCCTGCTGCCTTCAAATAATTCCAAATGCTTCACTAGATGCTACCATCTCCTCAACAGACTATCCTATATCTCTCCTCCCTTTCTCAGCTATACTCCTTGAAAAAGCTGTCCATACTGCCTCATCTGATTCCTCAATGCTTTGCAGTTTGGTTTCCAACCTTATCACACAAATGAAACTTCTGCAAAGTTGCCAATGATCTCTCAATGGTCAAAGCTGATGGTCTTTTTTCTGTCCTCATACTTCTCAGATTATCTGCCACATTTGACACAAATGACCACACTTTCCTTCTGGATACTCTCACCTTGCCTGGCTTTTCTGGTTCTACTCTCTTCTGGTTCTTCTGCTTCTTGTATAGCAACTCCTCATTCTCCTTTGCTGGAATATTATCTCCCCCCCTCCCAACTACAGGTGTTCCTCAAGCCTCTCTATTAAGCCCTCTGCTCTTCTTCTTCCACATTCTCTCTCTTGATAATTTCACCAGCTCCTATGGGTTTAATTTTTGTATTTTTACCAATTAACTTCCAGATCTATGTATCTAGCCCCAGTCTTCCCTGATTTTCAGTTCAGTATCACCAATTGCCAGTTAGACATTTCAAACTGGATGTCCTGGAGACATCTCCAACTTAACATGTGTAAAACAAAGCTCTTCTTCCCCCCTAAACCTACCCCTTTTCCACTCTTCCCTATTTCTATGAAAGGTACCACCATTTTTCTAGTATACCAGCATCATAACTTTAGCATTGTCTTTGACTCTTCATTCTCCATTACCTCGATATCCAGTTGCCAAATCTTGCTGTTTCTACATGCACTACATCTCTTCATTCACAAGGCTAACACTTTAATTCAAGTCCTCATCAATGCTCACCTGTACTATTAATATGACCTCTTAATTGATCTCCCAGCTTTAAGTGGAAAGAGTCTCATTACAGTCTGCCAACACTACTGCCAAAATAACTTTCTTTGGGTATAGATATGTCTACGTCACTCTCCTACCCAAACTCCAGTGGCTTCCTCTCCAATCATGGGGGAAGGAGGGACACAGGGACTGGGGACACAGATGAAGTGAGTTGAGAGTTGATGCAATCTTATAGTTAAGTGACTCAGAGTATGAGTTCTGGGGAGTTAAAGGGACTGAAAGGCAATTAGATTACAACTCCCCTAGAGGAAAATGAAATTTGTAATCCTTTGTGTAGGAATGCAAGGAATACTTTACTACTTGATTAACTTTATTGTTATTTACATTGCTTAATGTCCTAATTAAATGATTTTGCTATTGTATTTTAGTATTCTTGGTGTGTCCAGCAACAAAGTGACATATTGAGTGGGGATCTCAGGTCATGGTTTGAATGGTTATTACTTTGAAACAGCCAAAATCAGAAATCAGGTAAGGTTGGGACTATACATGTAAATAAAATTTTTTATATGTGCTAATCCATGAGTTATTTATGAGTCCTCTCTTCTCTACCCAATATAATCCACCCAAATACACTGAAGTAGTAAAGTAAATGAGACAATGAAACTAGCATCCCTTTCTACTTGCCCCACATCAATTATTCCATGCCACAGACTATTTTTATAGGACTGTGTATAAATATATTTTGACATTATTGTAAGATACGAACGTGGCAGTCTTTCATTTTTAACCACTGACTTGTTACAAGGAGCCACTTATTGATGGTTTTTTGCTGATGTACATAAATAATATTGCATAATCATAGGTTTGCATGTAGAATTATGCAAATGTATGCAGAGCCTAATACACATCAAGCTTGTCCCTCTGGCTTCCAATTCCCTGCACTGAACTGTCAATGCTGTCTACTTTTCCATTCTGTAAAAGTTTGAATGCCCCCAGGCTAAATGTAATAAATATCATATTAACTAATATGTGACCAGAGACAGGAAAATTAATACCTATAAGAAGCAGAAGAAAAGAATGAAGAAGAAACTCAGTAACGGAATAGTAAATAAATGAAATTAGTGTCATTATCAACAATAACTCTCGGGTCATTGCTTAATTGGAATGTTCTCAGAATAATAATGGGGTGGGTGGTGGTGCAGTGGATAGAGTGCCCGGCCTAGAATGAGGAAGACTCATCTTCCTGAGTTGAAATCCAGCCTCATATAGTTACTAGCTTTGTGACTCTAGTCAAGTCACTTAACTCTGACTCAGTTTCCTCATCTGTAAAATGAGCTAGAGAAGGAAATAGCAAACTGCTCCAGTATCTTTGCCAAGAAAATCCTAAATGAGTTCAGGAAGAGTCAAACACAACTAAAAAATGACCAAACATTCTTACATGCTATATACATAAAGGAGTTATGTGTGTATATGCATGTATATACACACAAAGGAGGAATGATACAAGGTACAATCATAGGTATTGAAGCTGGAAGGAACCTCAGGGTATCATCTGCTTCAACCTCCTACCTGTAGAAAGAGAAAGTGCTACCAACCCCCATTTTATATGAAATAATCACAGAATATCACAGTAAGAAGTGTAGACTTCACTGTAGTCCATTTTATTTAACTCTTCCTCTTTGTTACAAAGGAGGGTTCTATGGGAAGAAGGCATATCAGGACATGATGCATGTAAAGAACAAAAAAAACAATAAACCTTTAAAAGTCAGCTCAGTAACATTTGGGGGTGTGCAAGGGGTGATGTCTACTGTGAGCATAGCTCTAAGATAGTATGATACAATAGAAAGAGCTCAGAATTTGGGTCTGACACCCACCTTTAACACTTACTCATTTTGGGATCATGTGTTGCTTGTTTTCTCCAAGGCTCAATATTTTTTTTTATCCAGACAATGGGGATAATAATACCTGGTCTAGGGTCTATGCCTTTAAACACATTTGTCAGCTCAAATGTGATAAGGAAGTAGACCGAACAGAAACCATGTCATTTTCAATATTTGTTTTCCCATTTAGACTACTTACGGTCAGTGAGCTAGACTACCCTGGAAAGATCAGACCTTCTCCTGCCCTCAAGAGATTTACAAATGATTGGGTCATTCTTCTGAGGATGTAAGAATCCATTTGCTGCCTAGGAATGGTCCCTCTCAACCTGAGCCAATGATTGGCACCTGTCAAACCGGGAAGAATTTTCTCAGGAAATTTTCCAGACTAATCACCTCACATGGCCTCTGAACAGGGGAATTCCATGTCTTCGCTCCTGCAGCTATTAGACAAATAATTTGCTGCCTTTAGAAAGGAAGCCTTTGTTGTGAGCACAAGCCCATCATCCCAGGGGTTCTGGGCATTAAAAGCAAATTCTGAACAACTCAGTAAAGAAATATCCAGAAGAATAAAAGATAAGGAAAAAAAAAACATAATAAGGACCTTGAAAAGGAGCAGGAAAGTGAAATGTATACTGATAAAGAGAAAGAAAAATAGAGATGGCTTAACACTCACTATCCATTCAGGCAAGATGGTGAAGATGAAGTTGCTGCACTGAGCCTCATAGAGTCGCATTGCTAGGTGCTGACATTGGACACAAAAAGGAAAAAACAAAAGCCATAAACCAGACTGTGCTTATTATTCCAAGGCTGCCCTGGCAAAATTCAAGGATTTTGTGTTATCCTGATGTTCTTCCGGGGGGGGGAGGTGTTTCCAATTGCATCTTTAAAAAGCCAAATTCACATACTACATCTGGGAAGAATTCAAAGACAGCAACACAAAACTCTAGTGTTTGGCAACATACAGAATTGTCTTATCCTTGTGGTCTGCTACCTCTCTGTCATAAGGAAAGGGACATTTTTTCACTATTTCTTCTCAATCCATCCTGGCTCTGCTTCTGACTTTCTGGACTTTGAGCCCATGCCCCTGAGTGGGCACCTGCCTCATGTTTAGCTTTTAAATTCCTTTTTTGTGTGTTGCTTGTATCTGTGTCCCCAGCACTTAGCACAGTGGCTGACATGTAATAAGTAATCAATTCATGCTTTGCAACCTTCACTGGTTTCACCATTATTCAGAATTCAACTTGATTTTCACGATCTTTTCATTTGAATTGTTCTAACTCTTGTATATATTGTTCTGTTTGGTGCCATCACCAGTCATCTTGACTTATGTCTTGCCACTGGACTCCGATGACTCTGGAGGACACAGTGAGGCTAATGACTTTGCACAGCTCTGCCTCACTTAAATCCAATCCATTGGTCCCCTCTGAGAAGGAAGGATGGATGACAACAATATCATTCTGTTTATTTTACTCAGCATCAGTTCAGTAAATCTTGCCATGTTTCTCTGAATTCTTTGTTACTTGTCAGTTCCTTTTTTTCATAGTCTTTCTCTTATTTTAAAAATGCAATTCAGTTTTTGTTAATGGACAAAAAAAAATTTCCTTTGCTTCCAACCTCTCCCCTCCACTATGAAAACGAAAAGAAACCCTTATAACAAATAGTCATAGTCAAGCAAAACAAATTTGCATATTGGCCATGTCCAAAAAATATGTCTCAATCTGCACTCTGAGTCCATCACCTCCCTGTCAGGGGGTTAGTAAAAGTATTGATTTCTTCCTAGGGTTCAGTAATATTCCATTCCATCCATATGACACATTTTTTCAGCCTTTCCACAGATTTTGGGCCCTTGCTTTATTTCCAATGGTTTGTTCTTCCAAAAAGTGTTGCTATAAATATTTTAACATATATCAAATCTTTGTTTCTTTCTTTGATTTCCTTGGGATCATGTAATCTGGGGCAGCTAGGTGGCACAGTGGGTAGAGTTTCAGGCTTAGAGTCAGGAAGACTTATTTTCCTAAGTTCAAACCTCACCTCAGACAGTTCCTAGCTGTGTGACCCTGGGCAAGTCACTTAACCTCATTTGCCTCAGTTTCCCCATCTGTAAAATGATTTGGAGAAGGAAATGGCAAACCACTTCAGTATCTTTACCAAGAAAACCCCAAATCAGGTCAAGAAGTGTTGGACACGACTGAAAACAACTGAACAACAATGTGCCCAATGATGATATTGCTGGCTCAAGTGGAATGGCCATTTTGGTTACTTTCCTTACATAATTCCAAAACAGAAATCCCGACTGGTTGGGCCACTTCACAGTTCAGTCAACACTGTCATCAGTGCGCCTGCTTTCCCACAACCCTTCCAACACTGATGAGTCCCACCTTTTTTTTTTCATCTTTGCCAATTTTTGTGGTAGACTTTGAAGCCTCAGTTTTTAAAATTGGCACTTTTAAAAAAAATTTTTTTTAAATTAAAAAAATTTTAAAAATTAAATTGGCACTTTTAAAATTGTCATAGTATTAGTGATTTGGAACACATTTTCACGTAGTCATTTATAGTTTACAATTTTTCTTGGTTTTTTTTGTAAATTATTTATTCATTTTAAACTTAAATACAAAACAAGAAAAGAAAAAAAAAGAACATTTCCATGAACATAGCAGAACATGAGAAGATCCAATATGAAACAATAAATTTCCATTTCAAGAAAATCTATATAATAAATACTGCACATTTTTTTCAAAGCTACCCATCTTTTCTTTGCTTCCTTCTAGGTTTTCTTTTGTTCTCTGCTGTGCCCTTACAATTTTTCTTCTGAAAAACTGTTCATTCATATCCTGTGTCTACTTATCTACAAGAACCTAGCTTTTGTTGCTTCTTCTTCTCTGTCTACAAATAGTAACCTGTGCTGCACCAAGGAGGGAAGTGAAGATCAGAAGATCTGAATTTGAATCCTCACTCTGTCACCTCTGTGACCTGGGACAATTTACTTTACTTCTCTGTAGATTTGTGCTCATGTCCTTTCATGAGTCCTGTGGAGAAAATTTACCTGACATTCTGGAGGCCATTCCCTGGGTCTTTCAAAAATTTGAAGGTATCAGTATAACACTGTAGTTGCTAATTTATTAATCACTTGATCTTATTTCATAACCAGGTCACCTCTTTTTCTGGTCTTACAAGTGTTTTTTTGTATCACTTACTATGTATGCATAATTAATTGCTGGCAATATTAATTGTTAATATTAATTATCATTAATTATTGTTGATACTGATTTGGTCAATTTAAATGCAAAATTTAGCTTTCTACTGATATTTTATTTTACCCTATAATTTTGATTCTTCCGAAATTGTGGCATTCAATGCTGTGAAGGCATATAACATCCTTACGTGAACACTGATGTTAAAAAGGTAAGTTTTGGAGGCAGGGAGTAGCTGAGGATCACTGAAAATCTTAATACCCATATGTGATCTATGACACTCTTATTCAGCTCTGGGCACTGAAAACTGTACATTTGTGCCTGGGATTTCTGTAGTTAGGGATTAACTAAATGGGCTGCCCATTTATCTACAGTGAGGTCACACCATAGAGTGTCAGGCCTGGAGTCAGAAAGACCTGAGTTCAAATCCTACCTCAGATACTTCCTAAGTATGTGACCCCGGGCAAGTTACTTAGCCTTTGCTTGCTTCAGTTTTCTCATCTGTAAAATGGAGATTAATAATAATAATTAATAATCTATCTCTCGGAGATGCTCTGAGGATCAAATAAGATAATATTTATAAAGCGATTCTTAGAGTACTTGGCACAGAGTAGGTATTTTATAAATGTTAGCTATTATTATTATTATCGTTACTGTTTTATGGATGAGATAACTGAAGTTCAATTGTTTTAAGTGCCCAAGGTCACACAGGTAAGCAGCAACTGGAATTTGAACCCAGTTCTTAAGACTTTAAAGCCAGTTTTCTTTCCCCAATATGATCCTGCCTTTTTCATATAGAAGAATTAAAATTGACCAAATACATAAAGTAGGGAAGGGTCTACACCATAGACTCTTTAAAGAGTTTATAATCATTAGGTTTTTAAAAGAGTCACTCTTAATTAATGATCAAATAGAATTAAAACTAGAAGCTGAAATCATCATGTATGTTAATAGGATATAGAATTTTATTTTAAAAATTGTTTTATGTATAACTATTCCAGGGCAATCAATCATGTGGCTAAGATTCTAACTTAAACTACTCTGCCATGCAAGGAAATGACTCCAAAGAATAATTTACAAAAATATGCGATGAGGAGGGGGCACCATGACTAAATAACTGTACATTTGGTGTGGGGGGGGGAGTTCATATCACATGAAGATAATGACTGAATTGAGATTTAGTCCAAAAAAGAAGAACAAGGGTTTACTCATGATAGCATCTCTCTTGAAGACTTTGTAGGATTTTCATGTGGAAGAAGAACCTGACTGCTTCTGTTTGGCCCCAAAGAGAAGAAATAGGAGCAATGGTGGAAGTGTTAGAAAATGTCATCTATGATAGATGTCTGGAAAAACTTCTTAACAATTAGAGTTACCCCAAAGTAGAATGGGCCACTTTGGGAGTGAGCGTGTTCTTCCTCATTGGAGGTCTTCAGGCAAAGGTTGGATGACCATTGGATGTAGATTAGATGTAGTCCATCATTGATGGGTTGGCCAGATGTCCTCTGAGATCTCTTCTAGTTCTGAGATTCTGAGAGGAGGAGAAGAAGAAGAAGAAGAAGAAGAAGAAGAAGAAGAAGAGAAGAAGAAGAAGAAGAAGAAGAAGAAGAAGAAGAAGAAGAAGAAGAAGAAGAAGAAGAAGAAGAAGAAGAAGAAGAAGAAGAGAAGAAGAAGAAGAAGAAGGAGGAGGAGGAGGAGGAGGAGGAGGAGGAGGAGGAGGAGAGAGGAGGAGGAGGAGGAGGAGGAGGAGGAGGAGGAGTCCCTTACAGGTACATGACACTTCAAAGTTTTTGCATACACTATTTCCCTACAAGTAGTTCCTTACAGGTGATAGGCTAATGAAGCCAAAGCTCCTAACAAAGAAAGGAAAAAAGAATCCACAGTAAGGTTTATAACTTTCTAATCTCTTCATGGTCGGCTCTGTCCACATAATAGATAGGAAGGTTGTCAACAGACTTAGGCACAGACCCAATAGCAAACACTCAAGGAAGGTTTTGTTGTCAATATTGTTGTTTTTACAAAGGTCTTTAGGCTAGAATCATAAGGTCATAGATTTAGACAGCTAGGAGGCAGAGTGGATAGAGTACTGGACTTGGAGTCAGGAGGGCCTGAGTTTGAATCCTGCTCTCTCAACTTTTACCATTGGTGTGATGCTGGACAAATCACTTAACCCTCTCTCAGCCTCAGTTTCCTCATCTGAAAAATGGAGATAATAATACCTCATAGAGTCACTGAGAAGGTCAACAATATAATATATGAAAAGCACTTTGCAAACCTTAAAGTGCTATATCAATATTAGTTATTAAACCCAGAAAGAGCTTTAGAAATTGTTTAGTCCAACTCCCTCATTTTATAGATGAGGAAGCTACGGCCCACAAAGGCTAAACATCTTGCCAAAGTCCCATAGCCAGTGACAGAGCCAGATATTGAACTCAGGTCCTGTAATTAAATCGTTTTGCCTGTGCATTTCTTTACTGAGATGTCTCTTTGTTACAGGGCAGTCTTGCGCCTCTTTCTGGAACAGCAGCAAGACTACATGGCTTCAGTTCCCAGGGCTTTGGACCCCAGCCTAGGAACTGAGGACATTTGAATACTTATAAAAGAACAAGAAAGGAAATGCTTACATTGCATTTTTAAAGCTCAGAACAAACCTTACTAACCCACCCTTTGTCTGGGACTGTGGCCACACTCTTAGCCTGGCCCAGGACCAATGGTTCAAGTGGCAGCTGCTTGATTATTTTTTGCAGTCTTTAAATTCAACAAATTCCCAAGAGATAAACAGAGGCAGGAAAATAACTATAGGAATCTAGATCCAGGGTTGAGGGATTGAGGGTAAGGGTAAGAAATGAGGGGTGATGGCTGTAGAGGCGGTGGTGGTCGTGCTGGTGTTGGGGGTGGAGGAGAATAGCTTCTGGCTATAATAAACTCATGTGTGTTGGAAGCAAGCACTGGTCTAGACTTCATTCATTCACTCAACAAATATGTGAATGCCTACTACGTTCAAAAATAGTGAACAGTCATTTTGACAGCAACATAGGTCATATAAAGAGGGCCAGTGTTAAATAAGGCTGAAAGAGAGTGGCACTAAATTGTGAAGGGGCTCAGATTCCACATGAGAGCTTGAACCTTCTCTGGTAAACAATGGGGAGCCATTGAACATTTGGGGGGGCGGAGGAGTGACACGATAAGATTTATGCTTTAGGAAGATCCATCTGGAAGTGCTACCACTAAGTGAGCTAATAATAATTCCTAGCCCTTGTATTCTCTATTTATGAGGTGCAAGGGATGAGGGTGGGGAAATGAAGCCTGATGGAAAATGGTTTGACTGAAAAAATTCTTTACCTGAAACATCAAGTGATTATGTGTGTGTGTGTGTGTGTGTGTATACATCTTTGTGTGTGCACGCACATCTTTGGTCATGTAAAAGCTACTAATGTTTCCATAGTACTTAAAAGTTTACAAAGCACTAAATCTAAGTACAGGGTGTTTCAAAGGTCTTTAGTGGAGTTTTAACCTATTCAAACTTCAAACTGCACTAAGACTTCTGGGACATCTAGTCCTGGTATCTCCATTTTATAGATAGGAAACAACAAAACGACAACTGAGGCTCAGATGATTGAAGTGACTTGGTCAACACTACAAAGTTAGTCATTGTCAGAGCATGGATTTGAACCTAAGACTTCCCAATAAGTCCATAACTTTTCCCACTACAGAATCCTTACTATCATGGTGACATTTGTAATTCTAGTGGAAAAATTCTGAAATGGGTTCTCTGAAAAGTCAATGGAAGTCCATAAGCCACGGACTCAACAGGATGGCAGGTTTTAAAGAGTCCTATGGCAGAAAAGGTGAGTGAGATAGGAATAGTGTGTGTTGGAGTAGTGAGCGTGTACATCAGAATGCAGTAAGGAGGTAGGCGAAGGGTGTCTTTTCATGCTTAATTGGAGGTTTGCGGACCAATTCAAAGAAGAAAGTTGCAGGCTTTATGGGAAAATTGTGGGTAAGCATTATTTGGAAAACTACCAGAAGGGAATTACCAAAGGGAATCAAGAGATTATTAGAAAACAAATAATTACTTTCAGAGCACGTTTATCCCTCAGGGATCCTCCTCACCCTCCCCACTCTCGGCCCATATAAAAATCAGAAACAAAAGGATAGACCCAGCAATAATCTATAACGAGAAAGCAATTTTCTCAGGCTGAGGTACAGTATATCAGCCAAAGCTCTGCATTCCATGACTCGCCTGACCTTTCCTTTGATGTTATTAGGTAATTTCAGTGGTCAAGATTTTACAGACTGTGAAATAGCAAGTGGCCCCTGAGAAGCCAGAATACTAATAACTTATCTCCTGAGCCTGGGATACCATTGTGGTTTTTATAATGCTTACAAGTTGCCATTTGCAGAAAGAAATGAAGTTGTACTTTTTGTGGCAGCAAAAAACTGGAAGGAGAATAATACCTATTGATTGGGACATGGCTGAAGAAATTCTGGCACATGAATACTATAGGAAGAAATGAAGAATATGCAGGATTCTGAGAAGCAGAGGAAGACTTGCAGGAACTGATGCAAAGTGAAGAAAACAGAACCTGAATAAGAGGGGTGAAAATAATACTGCAAGTCCCAGGGCTCTGAGTGATGGCCAGTCTTGCTGAAGGAGAACAGAGGATAAACCATACTTCCTCACTATCTTTAGAAAGGTGGGGGTTGAGAATTGCACAGTATTGCATATGTTACCAGAGACAGTCACTGTTTTGGCTGGCGTTACTTGCTCATTTTAGGAATTGTTATGTAATGAACAGAGCACTTGACTTAGAGCCAAGAATTTGAATCCCACTTCATGTGTTTGCCAACTGTGTGATCCTGGGCAAGTATCTCAACTTCTTCTAGTCTCAGTTTTCTCATTTGTAAAATGGGGATGATAATAATAGGGTTGTGAGGCACTAGCTGCTTGGCTCTGGGAAAGTCATTTGCCTTTCTTGGCCTTCAATTTGCTCATCTGTAAAGTAGAGA